CAACCGCGCACACTGAATTGATATTTGTCTTCTGCTTCCCGGGGTGCTCTCCCATCTCGTTCTCTCTCCTAACCAATCTCCTTGACTACATATTTGTCGCCTAGACTATCATGAGGCCACGAAAAAGGGGGGGGGGGGGAGGCGGTGCGTCATCTGTAATGTTACCAATGGTTTTCTTTTTATGCAATGGCATGACATTTAGACCCTTTCACTCTTTTGGATTAGAAAACTTGTCATAGCGGGGGCTGCTGAGGATGATAAGGCAAAGCGTCAAGCTGATTTTTCCGCAGTAAGCATTCTTGTGTATAATGTTACACGATCTTGTGTACACAGCCCGAGCACTTACCTCAAATAAGTCTAGGAATTGCAAAGCAGTTATTATATTGAGAATTTTCTGCAATTATGATGCCAAAGTTGACGGTCAACCATATCATCGCAGTCCTTCTCCAGAATGTGTTCCTTCTTCGGCACTGCGCAACTAGTAATACAACTCCCGAATCTCAAATTTTTATTTTTCGCAGAAACTTTGCCCAAATTTTAAATTCGATGCATTGATTACGAAAATAACATTCATTTCCAGCGGTCAGGCGCAAGTCACGACACTTGTTTTAACCAAATTCGATGTAAGCTTCTATGTAGAGGTTATTTCGTGTTCTGATTACGAGTACAATATTCATTTTTCGGCACCGGCGCCATTCGGCGCCCGTTTTCCGCTCACCTTTTCCTCCGATTAGATGTTGACAGGATCGAGCCTTTGGGGTGGGAGGGTTCCGAGGTGAGTAAGTTACTCATCCTGCGGTCTCACACCCCACAATTTTTGTCAAACAGTGCTTGGTTTACTCTCCCTGGAGTGTCCGTACCCCTTTTTCACCAGGCAGTCTCAGGTTCTATTGAAACAGGCTAGTAGAACGCGAATTATGCGATGAAACAGCGCTAATGTCAAAAACGAATGTCATATTCGTGATCAGGACATCAAATAACCCCTATACAGAACTTTACACCGAATTTGGTGAAAACATGTGTCGTGACAAGGTGGCCAACTGGCGCCAGATGGCGCCACCGCCAAAAATGAATGTCATTTTCGTAATCAGGGCACCGAATTACCCCTATAGAGGAAGTTTCGACGAAAAATAAAATTTTGAGATTTTGGGGTTGTAATAGTTGAATAGTGCCTTTCTTCTTTT